TTAATTCTTTGAGGAACCTCCATACTGCTTTCTTTCCACAGTGGCTGCACCGATCTGTATTACCAGGATTCCTTTTTCTCCACATCCTCATTAACACTTGTTACTCTTTGTCTTTTTGCTTCTAGCTATTCTGACAGGTGTAAGGTGATAGCTCATTGTGGTTTTGATTTTTATTTTCCTGATGATGAGTGATGTTGAGCATCTTTTCATGTGTCTGTGGGCCATCTGACTGTCTCCTGGGAGCTACAGTGAATGCAGGCTTGTAGACAAGGCCCACAGCAGGAATGGCGTGGGCCCTCTGTTTGAGCCCTGGGGGGAGGGAGGGAGGTTCCCCTTCCTGGTAGTAGGAGTAGATTATAGGAAGGCTAGATTACATTCACCTTGCACTCAGAGATTTCTCCCTGTTATGTGTTGGGAAGGGTGATAAAATCATGTTATCTCCTGGCTCATTTTTATTTCATGGCCTTGCCTTCTTGGGACTGTTCCTTTCTCAGAGAGAATTGCATGGAAGAGAAAGGAATAACCCCCGGTCTCTTCAGCTCCAAGTGAGTAGAATTTCAATTTCTTGTTGTTTTATGGCAATGCCAGCTCTCTTCCCAAACAAGGGCCCACTCTCCTGACCTTACTCTTCATACTGTGGTCTTGACAAATGCCCATTCAGGCCCCTCAGCCATGGCTGCCTTCCCCCCAGAAGTGTTATTTTTTTCTCCTAAAGTTGGGGGAACTTCCCGGTGTCTTGATTTAGTGTATTCTCTCCCTGGCTTCTATTATTTTCATTTAGTCAGTAAATCACTCAGGCTTACAGTGCTTCAGGGCTGTGCTAGGTTCAGGGAAGAAATAATTATAGTAACTGTAATAGTATGCATTAACTAAGTGCTTATTGTATACCAGTTATGCTGAGGTGTTATAACCGGAATTCACTTGCCCCTCCCTCTGTACTCTTCCCATCCCAAATCTTTTCATGGCCGATTTATTTTCATGCAGGCCTTGGAGACCATCCTCGACAATCTGATTAATGCTGCCCCTGCCACACCTGCCACCTGTGTTCGGTCCCAGAGAACTTATGTTCTGCTTCATAAATAGTTGGTCTTATTTTCTTCATTGCCCTTTTTGTATTCAGAAATCACCTTATTTGTAGATTTGTTTACCCACCAGAAAGCAAGCCCTGTAAGGACAAGTACCTTGTCCATCTTATTTTCTTCAGTGTCCTCAGTGTTTGTTATAACATCTGAAATAAAAACAAATGGGTGCCTGTCTTCCTAGGTTAGTGCTAGGATGAATGAATACCAGCAATGATAGCAGTTGGCTGAGGATTTTCAGTGTGCCCCGTACTAGCCATGAGCTTTATTCAAGTAGGTATCCATGTGTATGTTTGTGAGAGAGAAAGACTGAATTCTTCCAACTCTGCGAGTAAGAAGTACTGTCTTCACATTAGGAAGAACAGACTTCTTCAGAGATTTGTCTCTCTTCTAGTGTTCACACAGCTACAAAGTGGCTGAGCCAGAACATACCCCCAGGCCGTTTGACCACTCCAGTATTGAGAGTCAAGACCTGCAGCTTCCCAACCCTGCCTCTCGTCTGGCTGTCTGGATTGAAACACATAATTTACCTGTTTTCCTTAAACTTCAACTCCAGACTCCTATTTGATTTCTCCTTTTCATCCGCACATGTAATCATTCATCTAGTCCTGTTATTTCTACCTTGCCAGTGTCTCCTTACTCCCATTACCCCTTTATCCCACTGGCCTGTGTCACCAGTGATATTAGTCATCTTCTTTCCCTCCACATTGTGAGCTCCATATGGTAAAAGAGTATATCTTTCTTTAAACCTAAGCGCCTGACACATAGTAGAATTTCAGTGAATGTGTGTGCTGTCTTCCCAGCTAGAATGTCAGCTCCTCGAGCACAGTCCTTGCCTGCCCTGATCACCACTATGTCCCAACAGGCCCAGTGTGGTCCTTAGCATGTAACTGACTAAGCGAACACATGGCAGAACAAAACCCTTCTGCTCTGGAGCTGGTATCAAAGAACCCAGGATCCCAGGATCAGTAGGCTGAGTTCACTTCAGTCCCAGTTTCCGTTTAAGTATGTATTGGGTGCCTACATTGTGCCCAGAGCAGACTAAAATCCCAGCCCTCATAGAGCTCCTATTCTCGTGGGTACAGAACGATAGTAAACAAGACAAACAGATGGTAGGTTAGGTGATAAGTGGAAAAATGAAGCAGGGAAGATGCTTTGGGAGGGCTGGCAGAGGGACTTGCAATCATAAGTAGGATAATCAGGGATGATTTCAGTAAAAAGGTGGTGATTTCACTGGAAAGGTGGTGAGTAGGGACCCAAAGGAAGTGAGAGGCCCGTGACACGGGGGAAAGGGAACGACAGTGAAGGCCCCAAGTTGGGGGCATAACTGACTGGTCTATGTGAAGAACAGAAAGGAGGCCAGAGAGGCTGAGCAGAATGAGAAAGAAGGATAAATGGGAAATTGGGTATTGGGAGGTCAGATAGTGTAGGGTCTTTTGGACATTGAAAGGACTTTAGTGAAGGTTTTGAGCGAGGTGAAGTTCTTGGCCAGAGGAGTGACATGCCTTTACTTGTATATTTAAAAGATCATTCTGGCTGGGGCGCCTGGGTGGCGCAGTCAATTAAGCGTCCGACTCTTGATTTCAGCTCAGGTCATGATCTCAGGGTCATGTGGGCCCTGCATCAGATTCTGCACTCAGCAGGGAGCCTGCTTGAGATTCTCTCTCCCTCTGCCCCTCCTCCTGTGCGCATGCGCTGCCTTGCGCGCGCACTCTCTTAAATAAATAAATAAATCTTCAAAAAAAAAAAAAGATCATCTCGGCTGCCGTGTTGGAAGTAGATTGTAGGGGGACAGGAATAGAAGCAGAGAGACTAGTTAGGAGTCAATCGCAGTAGTTAAGGCAAGAGATGACGGTGGTTTGGACTGTAATAATGAGAGAATTGGTCAGATGCTGGCGATCATTTGAAGGTTTTTGCTGATGGTTGGATGTGGTGTATGAAAAAGAGAAGGAAAAAATCAAAGATCATTTCAAAATATGTGGCCGGCTTATTTGAAAAGACAAATCTGGTGTTTGGTTTTGGGCGAGTTAAGTTTGAGACATCTTTTAGACAGCCAAGTGGACATGTCAAGTTGACCTTGAGTCATCGGTATATGGACGCTTTCTGATGTCCCAAGGCTGGATGTGTTCACTGAGGAAGTGATTGAGTAGAGATAGAGAAGAACTTCATGCACTAAAGCTTGAGGCAGTCCTGACTTTTGGAGGTCGGGGATATGAGGAGGAACCACAGGAAATTCTGTGTAAACTAGAAACCCCTGGAGGAAGCGCGACTGTGTTAGTACCTGCTCCTGTAAACCGTGGGCCCGGAGAAGCTGTATCAGCATCACCTGGGAACTTGTTAGAAACAGAATCTTGCGCTCCACTGCAGAGCTACTGAATCAGAATCTTTGGAGGTGGGCTCCAGCAGTCTGTTTCAACGGTCTCTCGTGGTGACTTTTGAGCAGACTAACGTTTCTGGAGCACAATCCTGGAGGGTCCTGAGGAGTTGAATTTCAATGGCATTGGTCTGGAGGACCCTGTTGCAGGTCTTTGTCCTCCCAGTAGGAGGTTAGTAGGTGGCCCAGTCTTGCACACTTGCTTCAGGAGTGCAGAGGGCAGTCCCTCATGCAGGGCAGTGCACAAATCGTGGGAGACAGGGAGGCACTTGCCGGAGCAGGCTGTGCAGAGGTCTGGGACCGACAGTTATGGGGCAAAGTGGATACGTGAGCTCCTGAAGCCGTCCACTGTGGGAGTATCTTGGAGTGGGCCCCCCAAGGGTCCGTATCTGTTTGTCTGAACCTGCCCTATGGCTTGGGTCTCAGGAGAAAGCAGATGAGGCAAAGAGAGGAAAGGAGGGAACTCACGGTCCGTGTGTTTGCACTACGTACGGACTGGTTCTGAGCTGGTTCCGAGAGTTCCGGTCGTCTCTGGGCTTCACATCCCATTGATGGCATTTGTTAAACGTGTCCAATGTGCCGGGCCCGTGCAAAATGAAGAACACGAATAAAGGAAGAAGGCCCCATTCCGTTGATGATTTGTGGAGATCTCTCTCTCTTTTTTTAAAGATTTGTTTATTTCAGAGGGAGAGAGAGAGAGAGAGAGCACGAGAGAGGGGAGGGGCAGAGGGAGAGACTCCTGAAGCAGACTCCCCACTTAGTGCGGCACAGGGCTTGATCCCTGGACCCTGAGATCATGACCTGAGCCAAAATCAAGAGTCAGCTGCTTAACGAACTGAGCCCCCTAGGCGCCCTGATGATTTAGAGATCTTAACGGGGCACTGTGTTAAAGGTGGCAAGCCAGCAACTTAAAGTGGTTCTGGGTCCCAGAGTGACTAATTCAATCCGGTGGCAGCAGGAGAAGGTCTCACTTAGAAAAGGAGCCCTTGAACTCCAGTCTGTGGGCATAATGCAGGGGGTTCATGAGCTTGAGTGGGAAAAAAATCCGTACTAGTTGAACTGAAAATTAGCATTTCCTGTAATTATGAATGCAGGTGACAAACCACAGTAGTATCAGAACCTGTGAATCTGTTATCCATGTAAATCATAGATATTTTTATATTATAGTTGGTGCAGGTGTTTCAGAATATTACTTATGCTCGTTACTATTTTGAAAATACAGTAGTTAATTCTTGATATTTAATGTGTAAAAAGAAGCACATCCCTGGCATTTTATTATTTTTGAACGTTGTATTCTAGTATAATTAGGCTTTAAAGTAATCCTGTGTGTTTTATTTTATGCATTTACAACATTATTCTAGGTACGAGTCCGTAAGTATCAACAGACTGCCAAATCAGGCCATAGAACAGAAAGATCACAAACTGATTTAGAAGACCTTTGCTAACCTGAATCTTGATTTATAGAATCCTTGAGGACCGGGATTTTTTTTTTTTAAGTTTATTATTTTTATTTTTTTGTAATCTCTACACCCAGCGTGGGGGCTTGAACTCATGACCCTGAGATCGAGAGTAGCACACTCTTCCAACTGAGCCAGCCAGGCGCCCTGAAGACAGGGATTTTTCATCGTTTTTATTTCTGCAATGCTCACAGTATCACATGAGTAAAGCATTCACACTCCAGATTCTCCTTCACAAAACACAGGTCTTGCGTCTGTGGCATCTGCACCCTTCTGTAGGGCCCCTGTGTGTCACTGCAACGCTTCCGCTGCTAGGCCCTCCCGCAGAAACTTCTCGGACTGTCTTCAGCCATCTGCAGCGTTCTTGGCCCTGTGGACCATGAGTCTCTCCGGAGCAGGGACTATGCATATAGCGACTCAGTAAGCGTCCACCAAGCAAATGGTCTCTAGAGGGTGTGCACCACACTAGAGACCCAGAGCTTTGGGGGCCAGAAGAAAGGACTGGATAAAGTTGAGTTCCCCTCTTGAGCCCACAGGTCCCTGGAACATGGGAACCAACCAGGCTGTGGAGCGTGAAGGTGGAGGCAGGTCCTTCCTTCTGAGCCCAGGGAGCCATCCGATGCTCCTTGTCAGAACTTGGAGATCCTTAAGAGTGAAGAAGGCCCGGATCTTCTGCTTCTCCGGATTAGGAAGACCAGAAGAGAAATAAAATTGCTTCCACTCTGGGAAAACTCAGGAGAGGCGATCATGGAGACTTGGACCTCAAGGCCTGGGGAGAGAGGCGAGAGCTCAGGAAGGGAGTGCGGCGGGGGAGGATCGGAGCCGGGTGTGGAGAGAGGACAGGTGAGGGGGAGGAGGAGAATCCAGTGTGGGAAGCAGCAGACCTTGCTGGGGTCCCAGTAGATGGTCCGTGAGCCCAGGCGGGAGCCCCCTCGTCTTATGGCTTCCTTCTCCTGCAGCTGTCTGCCCTCAAGCCTCAGCCCTTTCTCAGGATGGGGAGGACAAGACCAAGTTTCAGGTGGGTTGAGATCTCTTTTCACTCCAGAAATAACACGCCAGGCATCAGAGCGTAAAAATATCCCCCTCCCTTGGTAAGAGGGAACAGAGAAAACCATGTATTGGGCGAGTAATTACATTGCTCATTGCATTTATCCACAACGTAGCATGTGAGAGAGATGATAGGATCCGGGGTTAGAAAGGAAGAAACGAGCAGGGAATTCTGGATTTGAACCTGGGTCGGTATGGCTGTAATTCGCCATTCTTCTCTACATGCTCCTGCCAATAAATAATCATTTCATCTAAGGGCCCGAGCCTAAATTACGCAGAGAGGTTACTCTCCAGATAATGAATCCTTCTTCCCTGAGTTGTTCTCCTCTACGGGACCTTTCTGTGATTCATTTACAGATGTTATAGTCTCCAGATTATACGCCCTACCCAGAAGTACCCCATGAACAATGTTAAAAGAGAGCATAATCAGGGAAAAGACATTTCATCTATGACAAAATTATAAAGTATAATATCTTTATTTTTGGAAGAGGGTTTCAAATGCCCAAACGTTCTTGTTCAGAAAGAAGAAACACAAATGGCCAATAATTATATGAAAAGACGATCAACCTCTATTAGTCAAAGCAGTACAGATTCAAACAAGGTAGGATTCTTTTCTTTTTTTTTTTTTAGCAGATGACCAAAGATTTGAAAGATCAGCATTCACTGTGAGCCCAACGGAGAAACAGGTACTTGCACACAATTGCAAGGGGCATTTTTAGCCTTTCTGGAAGTTCCGCATGTGTCTGCTCCAATATTCCCCACTCTACAGGTTCATTCTAAATCAGAGCAAGTGTCTGCAGAATGATCGTTGCAGTGTTGTTCATAAGAGCAAAGAAAAAAAAAAAATGTCGGGGAGTGGACTCTGTGTCCATCCATTGGATTGATGGATTATCATGGTTTCACTTGTTCTCGTTTAGATTTTGTGCTGCTGTCCAGTGAGATAAAGTGGATGAAACTATTAGGACGTAGAAAGATGTGCACATGCTTGTGCTTTCTCTCTCTCTCTCTCTCTCTCTCTCTCTCTCTCTCTCTCTCTCACACACACACACACACACACACACACACACACACGGTAGATACATGCATACGTGTTAACTTTTAAGTCGAAAGAAAAAGAAATCAATTGTAAAATTTTTTTTTAAAGATTTTATTATTTGGGAGAGAGAATGAGATAGAGAGAGAGCATGAGGGGGAGAGGGTCCGAGGGAGAAGCAGACTCCCCGCTGAGCAGGGAGTCCGATGCGGGACTCGATCCCGGGACTCCAGGATCATGACCTGAGCCGAAGGCAGTCGCTTAACCAACTGAGCCACCCAGGCGCCCACAACTGTAAAATTTTAAGTACATATTTTTTCAGCACATGTGAGATTATTTTATAAAGCTTTCTTTTTTTATGGAAAGACATAGAAAAATTTGGAAACTTTGAGTCATTTTTATAATATGCTTTAATTTTAAATGTTATTGATGAACTTCCTACTCTGAGGGCTGAAGAAATGAACACTTCTTTACTTCCCACCGTCTCCCGATATGATGCTGTTTTTACTATCATTACCTTCGGATTTGTCACCACCGATTCCCACAGGGGACTTGTCTCAGTTCTGTGTCTAGAGGTCATTGTCCACCATGTGTCCTTTTCACCGGTTTCTTCATTCCTGCCTTCATTTTGATTTATCTGTGGTTGCCTTAATGTGACTCCACAATTTGCTCTTCCCGGAGACTTGTGGAGGCTGTACGCACTGAGCATTCCCATGCTGAAAAATGTCTGTTCTAACCTTTATGCCCAAATGGCAAATTGCCTAAGCTGAAAATTCTTCATTCATCCCTTGAGAACTGGCATTCGGTCTCGGGCTGGTCTTTTTCTCATGGCTTCTCCATTCATCTTCTGGTGAACAGAGTTTATTCTGACTTATTAGTTACTTTAGCATTTTTTCCCCCCGGAAAGGTCTGTTGACAGCAGCTTGGCTGAGCGTCATTTGCAAGGGTCACCCCTTAACTGCCCTTGCTCTGCGATCTTCTGACATTAATTCTTTTCCTGCCTGGATGTCTACTGTTACTATTCTTTTATTCATTTGGACCCCCCCTGGAATTCCTGTTATGAAAGGTGTAACTTCTGGATCTGTCCTCCCTATCCTTCACCCTTTGTTCTCTTTGGAATTTTCCATCATATTCCAGGAGGCTGCTCTGTGCTCCATTCACTGGCTTCTGCTTCAGTGATGTTCCTTCTTCTGGTTAGCGCCTCTCTTGAGGTTATATTTTCCCGTAATCATAGCAGTGATTTTTTTTTTTTTTTACGCTTCTGAGAATTCCTTTTTTTTTTTTTTTAAAGATTTTTATTTCTTTATTTGACACACACACAGAGAGAGAGAGCACAAGTAGGCAGAGCGGCAGGCAGAAGGAGAGGGAGAAACAGGCTCTCTGCTGAGCAGGGAGCCCGATGCGGGGCTCGATCCCAGGACCCTGAGATCATGACCCGAGCCGAAGGCAGATGCTTAACCGACTGAGCCACCCAGGCGCCCCTACACTTCTGAGAATTCTGATTAAATTTTTTTTGGCAAGATTTTCCCCCAAGGCTTTCTGAGTACATTTTTGCTAATCTGATGGAGCTGGGTGTGTGGCTAAGACCTCTCATGTGTTTTGCAGTTCGTCACACAGTGGGTGCATGATGACCATCTTCATATGTTTGCTGCAGTTGTGTTTTCTCATCTGAGAATTGCTTATGAAAGGCTTTCACCCATTTGCATCAATTAATGAAAGGAGCTCTTTCAAGAGTCGGGTTGTTAACTCACCCATCAAAAGTGGTGACAGTTAACTTTCAACCTTGACTTTGTGAATGGTGAGTTGACCGACCATAAAGAAGTGTCATATTTTCGCCTAGTTAAATGATTTGTTAGTTCCCTTTTGAAAATCTGGTTCCATATCTAGCCTTATCCGTTCTAAGCTTAATCACAAAAAGGCACGTAAATGGGTTTTTATTTAGATTAAGAACGTTTTAATCTCTAATATGGCTGTAACTTGTTTTTGTAAGAGGTGTAAGGTTGACAATTTCATTTTCTTCAAGATGGATAGCCAGTCATTACGGTGCCATTTATTATATTTGTCATTCATTTGCAAGTCAACTAAAGTACTTTTTTTTTTTAAAGATTTTATTTATTTATTTGACAGAGAGACACACAGCGAGAGAGGGAACACAAGCAGGGGGAGTGGGAGAGGGAGAAGCAGGCTTCCCGCAGAGCAGGGAGCCCGATGCGGGGCTCGATCCCAGGACCCTGGGATCATGACCTGAGCCGAAGGCAGACGCTTAACAACTGAGCCACCCAGGTGCCCCTAAAGTACTACTTTTATCATTTATATATTTTGTATATATTTATACATGTACATGTATAAATATTTAATAGGTGTATATATATATATATACACACATATATATACCTATATATTGACTTAGCTTTCCTGTAATGGGACTGTTCCTGCATCCTGGTCCACTGAGTTACTTGTATGTCTCTGTATTGTTTTACTGTTTATATTGAATATGTACTTTTGAAGTTCAGAAGTTATTATTCCTCCTTTCCCTATTCATTCAGCAAATATCTGTTGGACACCTACTATGGGCCAAACATTATTCTAAGCCCTGGTGATATATCAGAGAGCAAAACAGATAAAACACCCCTGCCTTCATGGGGCTGGCATTCTAGAAGGGGGAGACAGGTTAAAAACAAGATCATTGCTCTCATTGTCTTGAGGGGCGTAGGCCGGGTGAATTGAGAGAAGGTTCCTGCAGTCATCCGAGCAAAGGATGATGACGAGTCGGATTAGAGAGGTGGAAGTTATGACGGGGAGAAACGGAGAGATTTAAAGTCTACTTTGGAATAATAATTGGCAGAATTTTTTTTTTTTTTTAATGAATTAGATGTAGGAAATAAGGAAAAGGAAAGAATCAAGGATGCCTTGAAGGTCGATGGTACTTGTGTTTACCCACGTTGGGCAGGTTAGAAGAGAACTATTTGGGAGGAAGGACTCACTTCTGGTTGGGCTGTTTCTGCTTCACGATACCATTAGACACCCAGGTGGTGGTTGGAGTCGGCAGGGCTCAGTGTAGACGGCAGGGCTGGATTTAAAGATTCGGGAGATAGTGGCAGGTCTGCATAGGTTTAATTAATTGTCAGACTGCCTCTGGCCCAAGCTTTCTCCCCACCGTTACACTGCCTCTAGTCTTGGGATTGATCTAGGATTGTGCTTGGAAGTGTGCTTTCTTGGTGGCACTCCTTTTCCAAAATGGGGAGGTGGGTTCCTCTGGCCTGGCCCCTCTGATTCTCATTGGGGCAGCAGGATAGTAGAGTGGTTTCCGCATGGTTAGCCAGGCTGCCAGAGTTCAATCCTGACTCACCTCTTGTTAGGTGTATGATCTTCGACAAATAATATTCCCTTTCTGAGACCCCAGGTTTCTCATCAGTGAAGCGGAGATAGCCCTAGTCACTGCCTTGTGAGTAGTTACTGATAATAGAGCCGATGAGAGAACATTCCCAACACTCCAGAAAGTTCTCATTTTCCATGAGTTCTGTGAGGACTAAGTGAGATCAATCATATAAAAATACTTAGGCTAGAGGGATGCCTGGGTGGCCCAGTCGGTTAAGCATCTGCCTTCGGCTCAGGTCATGATCCCAGCGTCCTGGGATGGAGCACTGCGTCGGGCTCCCTGCTCAGGGGGGAGTCCGCTTCTCCCTCTGCCTCTGCTCCCCCTGTTCGTGCTCTGACAAGTAAATAAATCTTTAAAAAATACTAAGGCTAGAGCCTGCCTTACAGTAGTTTTTCTGTAAATATACGGTATTAATATCATCTGCTTTATAGACTCATTTCTGGTCCCCTGGTGACTCACATCTTGGCCTTTATAGGACAGTTGTTAAGGTTTAGTGGCTCTGGAACTAGACCTCTGTGTGTTCAGCCTGAACTAGACCTCTGCTTTAACTGGCTGTGAGACCATGGCCAGGTTACTTCACCTCCTGGTTCAGGGGTCCCTGAGACCACTCCCACGTTCAGAGATTTGCCAGACCCAAGGGGCTCAGTGTGTAGTTGTATTCATGGCTACGATTTGTTAGAGCAGTACACCTCTTTGCACCTGGCTTCCTCTAGACTTCACCCCACAGGGCTTTTCCCTTTGCTGATTTTGCTTTGTTTTTTTAACCACGCTAAGTCTTAGCTGGTGTAGATGTTGCAGAATTTTACTTACGCTCATTACTAATTTGAAATTACAGTAGTTAATTCATTCTTGATATTTAATGTGTACAAAGAAGCACATCCTTTGTGTTTTATTATTTTTGAACATTGTATTCCTGTATAATTAGCCTTTAAAACAATCCTTTGTTTTATTTTATGCATTTACAACATTATTCTGAGTAAGAGTCCGTAAGTGTCACCAGACTGCCAGAGGAGGCCATGGAACAGAAAAGATCACAAACTGTGATTTAGAAGACCATTGCTAACCTGTGTCTTGATTTATAGAATCCTTGAGGACAGGGATTTTTTTTTTTTAAGTGTATTATTATCATTATTTTTTGGTAATCTCTACACCCAACATGGGGCTTGAACTCATGACCCTGAGATCAAGAGTAGCACGCTCTTCTGACTGAGCCAGCCAGGCTCCCCGAGGAGAGGGGTTTATAATCATTTTGATTTCTGCAGTGCTCACAGTATTGCATTAGTAAAGCATTCACACTCCAGTTCTCCTTCACAAAAAACCTTGGGCCTCAGCTCATGACTGAGGAGGACACAGCATGATTTGAAGGGCCTCATCTGGTTGTGGATACGGTTGCATAAGCACCCACTGGTTGCTTCTGTTCAGCGAGGACATGGAGGCCTATAAAAGGCGTGTGTGTGGGGAGGGGGTGGGGGGCTAGCGAGCAAAGAGCAGGATTTGCCCAACTGCTGATGGAGGGGCGAGGGGCTGGTTGGTGAAGAACAGTCCTTCTGGCGGACAAGGTGGTTTTGGGGTGTGTGCAGACATGTGCACTCTAACATCACACACTGTTGGCACAGTCGCTGTGGAGGAAAAGTTTAGGTATTCTACAAGTCAGAGTCAAATTGTCAAATGAACAGACTGTTTGACTGAAGCACTGTAATTCTATGGAACTGCCTTCAGAAGTGCTTACTTACACCGAACCAACAGTAGTTAGTGTTCCTTGCTTTGCTCTCTGGTTAACCATGGAAGATCCGTTGCTTAGAATCGACATTATTGGCATCGGACATTAACAAAACTTGGTTTGACCTGCCAGATGGAGCAACTTCCTGCTTGCTTGCCTACTCTTCTTAGTGACTCCAATTTTACCTTTCATCTGGTGTTTGTGTTAATGGTGTTTCACGTTTTAGGAGCCATTGACCTTCAGGGACGTGGCGGTGGTCTTCACTGAGGAGGAGCTGAGGCTGCTGGACTGCGCCCAGAGGAAGTTGTACCAAGACGTGATGCTGGAGAACTTTAGGAACCTGCTCTCTGTGGGTAAGGGAATGTCTGGGTGATCGACACTTACCTTGATTGGAGCGTTCTTGTTCCCTGGGGAGAGGGTATTTCTGGTCTTTGTATACAGGTTAAATCCCACTTTTTAGATAGAACTGTTATAAAGAAGTTTCTTTTGGCCAATCTTGAATCTTCTCTCTGCCTGTCCTTCAAAGGCTTGAAAGTCATGGAATTAGGGCTACATTTTCTGATTACTTTTTGCACCTCAAAAATGCGCCTAAGCCTTGTATTTTCAGGGCAACAACCTTTCAAACCTGATAAGATACCGTACCCTTTGGAAAAAAGGCAGAAAGACTTGGATAACAGAGAAAATCCAAGAGATGCGCACCCAGGCGAGAACTGTGGAGCCTGGAGTCCTGAGCAGGCAGGGAGGGGGTAAGCTTGTCACCTAAGACCCCTTCCAACCCTCGATCTTACCTGAGGACACCACATACTGTTGTAGGTGATTGTTCTGTGACCTCATTTCTGCTACTCAGTTCCCACCTTCTCGTGATTCCTTCATGCTTTTCAGATGATGTACCCAGAGTGACAGAGGGGGTCCCTGGACTTGCCTCCCTCTGATAGAAACAGCCGGGCAGTGTAAGATAAGCCAGTTAACTCCTATGTCCTATTTATACCCACTGAACCCATTTAACTCCTATATCCTAGGCATCCTCAGTTATAAACAGATTTGTGTTATTTCGGCCCTTGAAGGTAAAAATCACCAATAAAGAATATCAAAAAGCACGGACAGATTTTAACTTACCTGGACCTACACAGTAAATGTGACAATTTGATGATTCGCAGGCAGTGACAGGGATACGTTGAATATTTTTATGCCTCTGTGCCTTGTGTCATGTGGATTCCTAACTGACATGCTCCCAGAAGACTGGGACACAGCTGGTGCACTTTGGAGGACTTGGTGCTTCGTTCCTCCCCCAGGTTCAGCTCACACATGCCCAGAATTAGAGTCACTGTGGGGGACAGCACTAAGTGTGGCCCTAAAACCAAACTTCTGTGTTTGACTCCCCACCCTCCCCTTCCGCACAGCATGGCGGGGTGACTGCACCAGGTTACTCACCCTCTTTGTGCCGTGGGACCCTCATCCATAAAGTGAAAATGGTAAGGGTCCCCAGCTCAATGTTATTCTGGAGGTAAAAGGAGTTAGCGGGTGTATATCGTTAGCATATAGGGAGCGTTTCAATAATGTTGAATATTATTGTTAACAACAACAGCAGTAAGTGGAGAAGTGAATTTTCTCTGCAGGAACCTGTTGGGAATTTCTTGCTCGGCAAGTAGATGATGAGATGTAGTTTGTTACTGGTAGGATCATATTCACATTTCGCTTCAAAGCTTGTTAACAGGAACCTCTTTTTTTTAAGACATAGAAGAAGTGCCCTGGTAGTTATGATACACACAGGTGAATTTTGCTCTAGGCTCATTACTGGCCCGAGTCTGAAAGCATGACCTGGCTTGAGATCCCTGAGGCAATCTTGTATTTGTTCTCATCTCTGAATTGTCTCTCACCCCATAGGAGACAAGAATGAAAAGGAAATGGAGTATATTCAAGAAAGAGAATTAAAGTGCCTTTCCTCCAGGGAGCTCTCTTACTGGAAAATCTGGGAACAGGTGACTGGTGAATTAACTGGGAGTCAGGATCATAGAGTAAATCTTCAAGGGAAAAGTTTCCAGTTCTCAGAAGACGCTTCTCCCTGCCAAGGGTGGGAAGGAGCACCTGCTCGGGGTTCACACATTGACAATCTGGTGGGCAGTCTACAGAGACCCATCGGCTCAGAAAATCAAGAGTTTCCACCCTGGAAAGCTGTAAGACCGGTATCCGGTCAAGATTCTTGGATGAAAGCCTTTGTGAATGAGCCGGGGAACATTCGTGAAAGGTGTAAAAAACTTGACAGGCCAGATACAATATATAAACATGAGGGGGACAGTTACGACTTCAGCTGGTTATCACGTTGTCACACTGACCACAGATTCCCTGAAAGAGAGAGGCCCTGTAATTGCTATCGGTGTGGAAAGGACCGCGTTAAAAAGCCGATACTTCATCGCCCTAACAACCCCCAAGAGTATGACCGGAAAAGAAATGGCTGTGGAAACGGCTGCAGGGAAGAGTCCCACCTTCCCACTCATCCAAGAGGGCCCTCGAGAGAGAAACCCCATAAAAACGAGTTCGGCCCGGGCTTGAGGCCGACCGCCCACCTCGAGAGACCGCAAAGGACTCCTTCGGGCGAGAAAGCCTCTAAAAGTAAGGAGTGCGGCCGGGGCCCGCGGCAGAACCCGCGCGGGCCCAGCAGGCCCCGGGCCCCTGCCGCGGAGATGCCCTACAGCTGCGATGTGTGCGGGAAGGGCTTCCGCTACCAGTCGATCCTCCTCATTCACCAGGGCGTGCATACGGGCAAGAAGCCGTACGCGTGCGAGGAGTGTGGGAAGGCCTTCGGCCGCAGCTCAAACCTGCTGGTCCACCAGAGGGTCCACACCGGCGAGAAGCCGTACAAATGCGGCGAGTGCGGGAAGGGCTTCAGCTACAGCTCGGTGCTGCAGGTGCACCAGCGGCTGCACACGGGCGAGAAGCCCTACACGTGCAGCGAGTGCGGCAAGGGCTTCTACGCCAAGTCGGCGCTCCACAAGCACCAGCACGTGCACCCCGGGGAGAAGCCCTACAGCTGCGCCCAGTGCGGGCAGGGCTTCACGTGCAGCTCCCACCTCAGCAGCCACCAGAAGGCGCACGCGGGCCAGAAGCCCTACCAGTGTGACAAGTGCGACAAGGGTTTCAGCTACAACTCGTACCTCCAGGCGCACCAGCGCGTCCACACGGGGCAGCGGCTCTTCGAATGCGACGTGTGCGGCAAGGGTTTCAGTTACAGCTCGGGGCTCCTCCGGCACCAGCGGCTGCACACGGGCGAGAAGCCCTACAAGTGCGAGTGCGGGAAGGGCTTCGGCCGCAGCTCCGACCTGCACGTCCACCAGAGGGTCCACACCGGCGAGAAGCCCTATAAGTGCGTCGAGTGCGGGAAGGGCTTCCGGCGGAATTCAGACCTGCATAGCCACCAGAGGGTCCACACGGGCGAGCGGCCCTTCGTGTGCGACGTGTGTGGGAAGGGCTTCATTTACAGCTCCGACCTCCTCATCCATCAGAGGACGCACACGGGCGAGAAGCCCTACAAGTGCGCCGAGTGCGGCAAAGGCTTCAGTTACAGCTCGGGGCTCCTCATCCACCAGAGGGTGCACACCGGCGAGAAACCTTACAAATGCGAGGAGTGCGGTAAGGGCTTCCGGTGCACCTCAAGTCTCTACAAGCACCAGCGCATCCACACGGGCAAGAAGCCCTACACGTGTGATCAGTGCGGCAAGGGCTTCAGTTACGGCTCCAATCTCCGCACCCACCAGAGGTTGCACACGGGCGAGAAGCCCTACACGTGTTACGAGTGTGGCAAGGGCTTCAGATACGGCTCAGGGCTCCTCAGTCACAAGAGGGTGCACAGCGGGGAGAAGCCTTATAGATGCGACGTGTGCGGGAAGGGCTACAGTCAGAGCTCACACCTTCAGGGTCATCAGAGGGTCCACACGGGCGAGAAGCCCTACAGATGCGAGGAGTGTGGGAAGGGCTTTGGCCGAAGCTCCTGTCTTCACGTCCACCAGAGGGTCCACACGGGCGAGAAGCCCTACACGTGCGGGCAGTGCGGGAAGGGCTTCAGCTACAGCTCGGGCCTGCGGAATCATCAGCGGGTGCACGGGAGTGAGAAACCTGACAAGTAGGCGAGCGTTCGGATGGCATCCCGAACTTTCTGCTCACCCGAGCGCCGGCGCGGGAGGAAGCCTTTGGGAACGTGCTGTGTAGGGTCGGCTGCTGGGGGAGGCTGTCCTGGTCACGCGGCCCTTGCTGCGGAGGAAGGAAAGACCCGGAAGTTCGAGAAGCGGGAAGAGCGCTTGAGTCGCGGGCTTCCTCGTCTCCGAGAGTATGTCGCCCGGCGGGCCGTCCTTAAGGAAGCAGGGGCGGGGCCTCAGTAAAGATCGTCACTCTCCTCAGAGTCGGCCCAGGAGGGAGCGCTTCTAAATGAGAGGAGCAGGTGGTGGACACGGATGCCTTGGTGGGGGTGGGGGGTGGGTGGAAAATACCCGCAGATGGGACAAATGTAGGAAAGAATGGCCACCTTGCTAAAACCGATATTGTGTGTACCTTTTAGAAGATTGATTTTACAGAAATTGAAAGATGGTGTTACTGTGGGTTGAGGCCAGTCGCTTTTAGAAGAGCAGGAACAGTTAGAGGGAGGGTCCCCCTCTTGGCAGGTGTGGATGATGTGTCTCCACATACACCTTTTTATGTCACGTGGTGGTGAATGTGTTTCATCTCCTAGAGATAAACTGCTCTCCTAGAGAGGTCGTACTGAACTGCGGAGCCGTTTCATTTTATCAGGTTGGTTCTGTTTTGTTTTGAAGTAGGCTCCATATGGGCCCGGCAGGGAGCCCAGTGTGGGGCTTGAACTCACAACCCCGAGATCCAGACCTGAGACGAGGTAAGAGTCGGACGCTCAACCGACTGAGCCACCCAGGCACCCCTCATTTTACCAGGTGTTAAACACGAAAGCCAATTGGCGTTGCATTGAATTTATAGGTTAATTTGTTTTATTGCTATCATGGGTATAATGCTTCTGCCCCATTTCATTTCATGTTTTTAAACAGACAAGACAACTATTAGAGCATTTTAAAGAATCAGAAATACCATTTGAACTTGTCAGAATAGCCGTGGAAAAATAGAGTCACCAAAACCACCATCAGTGGGGATCTGTGGAAACCTGCACCTGTGAGTTTATTGGTGGGGGGTGAAAAAAAGTAGTCTTTTGGGAAAGAATTTGTCAGTGTATCAAGTTCAGATTCGTGTAACCTTTGAAGTGGCAATAAGTGTGTAGTAATTGATACTTGGGAGGTAGTTGCACATACGGAAAAAGATGTATGCATATGACTGAGTTTCTTAGCATTTTCTTACCATAGCAAAATAAAAAAAAATATTAATACTCCAAGTGTAATAAATTAAGGCACATGTAAATGAGTGAAAACCACTAAGAATATTCAGGTACACCTACATAGACATTGAAGGTTGCCCACAAACCATTTTGTGAACCAAGAAAGTTGGAGAGCCATTTTAGTATGGCCCCGTTTTGTTAATATGCTTTTTGCGTGTGTATGTTTATATAGAGAGAAAGACACAAAAATGTGTGAAAGGTCAGTCTGATAACTGCTTATCTTTAGTAAGTGGGATGCGGGGTGTGTAATAACATTTGTGTACTTGTATGTATTTTACTTTTTAACACAGTATATATATCAATTTTATAACAATAGTAAAGCTATTTTTTTTAAAAAAAATTAGTCTGGTGGAACAGTGCCTTATGGTCAAAGATCCATGTCACAACCTCTATACTTCTGTTGTTGTTGCTTTTTCTACTGTTTACTTAGCACCTAGTACCAAATACAAGGTATACAAATGAACTGAGAAATTTGTGAATTAGATGCTGCATAATTTTTGTTGGCTTGGTCAGAAACGAGGGTGGTCTGGGTAATTGGGAGGAGCTTGGGTGCTCCACTCTGCATTCTGGCTCTCTGGGACCAGTGAGCCCCCAAGCCTGGCTTCCTAGAAGGCAGCGCACCAGGATATGTCCCCTCCTAGTCCGACTTCCTTTCCTGGGGCCATGTCTGGGGGTCAGAAGCAAAGTGTCCATAGCTGAAACGGTTAGCTTTCTGAAGGGGATTGGAAAAAATCTCAAGTGGTTTTTTTTTTTTTAAGATTTTATTTATTCATGAGAGACAGAGGGAGAGAGAGAGAGAGAGAGAGAAGCAGAGGGAGAAGCAGGAAGGAGCCCGATGTGTTTTGTGGAATAGCAGCTGCATCATTTTAGTCATGGGGTGGGTTTTATAGCCAAAGAACACATGGAGACACCGTCCCTGCCCCTCAGACCCTCAAGGTTTGTGGTTGATATGTTAAACTCTCTAAATGGATTTCCAAAGGAGGACCGCAAATTTTTTTTTCTGTAGTTTTATTTTACGCATTTTTTAAAAGCTCCAAAATTTTAATTTTTAATTTTTTAATTTTAATTTTTTTTTTTTTTTTTTTATTCAGGGGTTGAATTTTTTAAAGATATTTTTTATTTATTTATGAGAGAGAGAGAGAGAGAGAGAGAGAGAGGCAGAGGGAGAAGCAGGCTCCCAAGGAGCAGGGAGCCCGATGCGGGACTCGATCCCAGGACCCCGGGATCATGACCTGAGCCGAAGGCAGACGCTTAACCACCTGAGCCACCCAGGCGCCCTCAGGGGTAGAATTTAATGATTCATCAGTGGCATATAAAACCCAGTGTCCTCCTTAATGCCCATCACCCAGTTACCCCATCCCCCCCCACCTCCCCTCCAGCATCCCTGTTTGTTTCCTAGAGTTAAGAGTCTCTTAGGGTTTGCCTCCCTCTCTGTTTTTACGAAATCTTGCCATTTGCAGTGACGTGGATGGAACTAGAGGGTACTACGCCAAGAGAAATGAGTCCGAGAAAGACAAATACTGTATGATTTCACTAATATGGGGAATTTAAGAAACAAAAGTGATGAACATAGGGGAAGGGAAGAAAAAATAAGATAAAAACAGGGAGGACCACAGGTTCTTAAATTGGTCTGGGCAGTATCTCCCCAGTGTCCTGGAAGTAGCTGTCACGTGTTGGCTGCAGCTAGTCATCTGAAAGCTTGACCAGGGCTTGATCTGCTTCCAGGATGGCTTTGAGCATCATCGAGCTTTGAACAGGAGGCCTCAGTTCCTCAGTGGATGTTGGAAAAGGCCTGAGTTCCTCACCACGTGGGCTTCTCTACAGGACTACCCGAGGGCCTTCATGACACGGCAGCTGCCTTCCCTCAGAGCAAGTGGCCAGAGAGGAGAGCGCAAGCAGGAAGCCACAGGGCCTTCTGTGACCCAGTCTCTGAAATGACCATCCCTTCTGCTTTCTTCTCTTCCTCAGGAGTCACTGAGTTTCTGGGGAGGGGCATTAGGTTCCACCTCTTGCAAGGAGTTCCGGAGAACTTGTGGATGGATCTACAAAAAACCACCATACCTACTAACAGCATGGGAGAGTGATTCGGTTCAGTCCTTTCTACCTGCTAGAGGCCGTCCTCGAGATCCCACTGGGTTGCCTAAAGTTTACCCAGGTGCCAGTCGGCTGCTGCTATGTTAGTGGCAGCAAGGGATACAAGAGCGTCAAGGGAGTGCTGTAACCACTATGGATTGGTTGGAGTCAGGCGTGGAAGTGCGGTGCTTTCTCTGCAAAATCAGGAACAATGAAGTAAGATGTCTCCCTCTGTTGTTATTCTCTGCATTCTCTGAATGTTACATGGTAGGAAGGTTAATACAAGCTTCAGGGCCTCTGGAGAGTTGTAAAAACACCATCTGCTGGGCAGAGTCAGAAACAGGTAGTCTCTAAATGATGAACAAGCTGGCTCTAGCTGAAGCGGGTTGGTAGGGGCGGTAAGTCTGGTATAGAATATAAAGTTGATTGTGACAGTAACGTTGCATCCTACCAACAGGGTGATGTGATCATTTTAGAAGGTAGAGTCAGAGACTTTAGATATGCTTCCTTTAAAAAAAAATTTTTTTTAGAGGTTTTATTTATTTGAGAGAGAGAGACAGAAATAGCGAGAGAGAGCATGAGCGGGGAGGAGAGGGAGAAGCAGGCTCCCTGCTGAGCAGGAAGCCCAACGTGGGGCTCGATCCCGGGACCCTGAGGTCATGACCAGAGCCGAAAGCGGGCACTTAACCAACTGAGCCACCCAGGGGTCCCAAGATACTTATTTCCAAGTAGATTTTGTGGGTCCAGACAAGTTGTAACTGTTCCTCAGAACAGTCCTCAGCCTGAATATAAATATCTCAGGTATAAAACCCAACCCAGTGTTACTCCATCATGAGATGGAGAATGAAGTACGCCAACTAAGTGAGATAGTCTACTAGCCCACTAGGATGAGGTGGTATGATGGTAGGTCAGAAATTAAATTTGGTTTATTCTCACTTGGGAGATCTCCTGCATCCAGATGTGTCCCTCAGAGCACTGGAAACACCTAAGCCTGTCATTGCCTTGGACCCCAGGGTCACAGTGTAACACTGTATTCTGTAATTTGGCCATCAGGAGTACCTGCAGATCATATTCAACCCCTTGAATTTTTACTTCTGACTGACATTTGGTTAATCAGTAGATACTATGTGTCAGGCACTATGTGTCTCAGCACTGGGGATACAACTGTTAAGGTGGTTGGACCAGAATGAGCAAGCGAGAAAGTAGTAGAAAGTGAGGTCAAAAAGGAGAAACTAAAAGGGAATAAATGAACTCAGATGTGGAGAATTGACATATTTATCAGAGATATTACTGAGGCATGTTAAAGGAAACCTCTTCCTCCATCCAGTAGTTTTAGGATCTCCCAAATTTAAGGGTCACTCCCGCCTCTGTGGCAGATCTTACTAGATTTTTTTAAAATCACAATGAAACTAACGTCAAGATATCAAAAGACAGAGCGAGGCCAAGAGAATTTCGCTGTTCCCGCATGTGCCATGAGTTGCAATGCCAAGCTATATAGCTGGATATCCTGCCCACTGCTTGGAGGTGGGGGTCTTCAATTACCTGTCTAGTCCAGGACTAGAGCTGGCAAAAAGAGTATGTTCTCACCCGTTTTGGGGTGCTTTTCTTCCAGGCCAGAACTGTGGGTTTCTGGTGAAATCCTTACCCAGTTTTCTTACCTCGTGAGGGCACAAAACAGATACTTCCTTTAACGGTAATCTTAAAATGCAAAAATTTTGTAAGTGCCACCAGGGGAGACTTCTCAAAGGGAATCTGAAACCTTTCCATGTCTCCGTGATTTGTGGAAATAGGTCTCTTATAAGACTCGCTCCCCACCCCCCACTCCCGACTCGTGCTATTCCCTGATTCAGAACAGAAGGCACTGGGTGTTGATAATCCTCTCTGCTTCTCCAGAGAAGCGGAAACATGAGAGGACTCGGAACTCTCAAGTGTGGAAGATTTTCCAGAGTCCCCTTCAATAAAAACAAACCGTGAAAAGGGTATTTAAATGAGTCTTTTAGAAAAATTAAAGGGTGTGTCCGCAGAATAAGAACCTGTAAGGGTTTTCGCTAAAATGGGAACAAGTGCTCATTTCCAGGTGGTGGGATATTGGATCTTGGCCATCCTTCATATCACGGGTGGAGAGTGATTTGTCTTAATTATTGTTAACATTTCACTGTTATTTTATCACCATTATTATTAATTTTATTGTTTTAAATAAATGGTAAGAGTGCAGGTGGTCCCAGCGGGGCCACTGATCCCCAGGGAGCCTCCCGGCGCGGCGGCGGCGCGGCGCGGTGCGGCGCAGGGCCTTCTGGGGGTTGTAGTCCACAGGCTTCTTGCGCATGCGCTTTGGGCACAGGCGCTCACTGTGGGCGATATTGTCTGCGGCGCTAAGGTGAGTCCGGCCCGGACCGCACCCCGGAAGGGGGCGATGGGGGTGGAGGGTGTGTGTAGCTGTGACCCGGCCCTGTCGATGGGTGGGAGGAGTTGGAAGCGGGGACTGGTGGCCAATGGAAGAGCCTCCTCGGCGGGGCGGAGTGTTGAGGGGCTCGCCCAGCATTCCCTGGGAAGAGGTGGGAGAGCTTGAGCTCGGTTTGGGGGGACTGACTCCGGTAGCGCCGCTGCAAGGTTTCGGGATAGGGGCTGTGCATCCCCGCGTTGGGGTTGGTGTCAGCCTTGGAATGTGCATCTCTGGGCCGGGGCGGGTTGGCTCAAGTTTGGGGGAGTAAGGGTTTGGGCCAAGCGTCCCTGACTGCAGAGAGGGATTGGCTCAAGCGGTTCATCTCCGAGTATGGGGGACTGCTTGGGCTGTACATTCCTGGCCTCGGCAGGGCGGGCAATTCGGACTCAGCAGCCCTAGATTCTTGGACTCTTGGATTCTGAACGCTGTGTTTGGGATTTGGCAGCTCTGACTCCGGGCGGGGGGGCATCTTTGTTCCCCAAAACTGGGTTCACTTTTGGTGGGTATTGAACCAAAAGATATAACCAAGCCCAAAAATAGGAAAAGGAAGAATTTTACTTGCAACAAATAGAGGGGAACACTGGGGGATATTTTCCAAAGCAGTGTCTCCTGGAATAACAAAACTGGGCACATTTTAAGGTAATGGTGCATACATATTCATGAAGGGGTCTGTGCAATGGGGAATTCAGCCTGGAATTGGGGGGCAAAAGTCATCTTAAGGTGACAGAGCCCAGGTCTGATGGAAGTCATGAGGGACGGCAAGGGTCAGCTTCATCAGTTCTGTGGCTCCAGTTGGTCTGGCATCTGGGTGCTCAAAGGGGTTTAGATCCTGAAAAGAGAACTCAAGAATGTGCTTCCGGTCACTCTTCACGTTTGAATCAGCCCTGCGAGTTTTACCATTGATTGATTGTCCCTGATACGATCAGGCTATCTCCTGGCCTGATAGTGGCTGTTTATTCTTACATTCTTTTGTTCCGTTAAAATTATTAACTACTGAGGTCTATTCTGCAATTTCAACGTATCCCAGGAAGTTCTTTGAGGAAGAAAGTTCTTTGGACAAATAGTGCCAGTCAGGCTTAGATCTCAAGATGACTGGGACCTAGAATGACTAAAGTAACTTTTCTTATGTCAAGAAGCTATGTCTCATCTTTCTTGGGGGACCCCTAACTCTTTCTGCTTACATCTTGACTTTTCTCCTCTCTCTAGTTAGAAATCTGAATACAGTTTCAAGAGAACTGCCCCAAGTTATTAACCCCATCCTCACCTTGCAATGCTGGGAGGCAGGGAATGCAAACTTTGAGGCTTATAAGACACAGAGCAAATGTCAGATTGTTTGACTGCAGTCAACAAATTAGAAATTTGAGCACTGACTGTACATTTGATAAAATTAGAGAATTTATGTTAATTATTTTAGGTGTAATATTAGCACTTTTAAAACTATTTCATACCTTTTAGAGTGACATAATGAAGTATTTCTGGATTAAGCTATATGATGAATATGGTGTCAGGGATATACTTCCAAATAATATGCAAGGATGTGGGGAGGGGTAGAGATATAGTTGAAACAAGAGTGACCATGTGTTGATAATTGCTTAAACTGCATGATTGGCACCTGGGGGTTCATTAGACCATTCTGTCTACCTCTGCATGGCTTCGAAATTTTTATGATAAAGTATTTTTGAAACAGTTTTCCAGTTAACTAGCTAGGAAGTGTCCTGAGGAAGCATAGAGAGGTTGAATTTACTCTTAGTTGCATATCATATGTGGGGGCCAGATGTTGCAAATTCCCCCTCAGACTAGACCCCTGGGCCCTGGGAATCACTGTGAGCTCAGGGGTATGGTCAGAGCTTCAGGTGTTTCAATAAAACTCTGAGGTTTTCTTCCTTTTGTAATGAAATTGATTCATAGGTGTTTTACGTCTTTTGTCTCTTGCGAATGGGATAATTTTATCTTCTATCTCTGCAAATATATTATTTGTGTTTTTCAACACTTCAAACCTAAGATTTCCAAAACTGAGCTCCTGATCCTCCACAGAATTGGCCCCTACAAAACCTTCCCCATTTCTGTAAATGGCAACTCCATCCTTCCAGTCAGTGAGGCCAAAGCCTCCACTCCACGCTTTCCACCCCAGATGCAAGTGATCAGCAGATCCCATTGACTGTATCTTCAATATGAACGCAGACCCCAGCAACCTCTCACTACCTCCACCTCTGCTCCCCTGACCCAAGACACCATCATCCCTTGCTGGGATTATCGTGATAACCTCCTACCTGGTCTTCCTGCTCCCCCTCTCTTGCCACCGTTAGTCCATTCTTAACAGCAGTCAGAGGAATCCTGTTGATGCCTAAATGAGATCGTGTCACTCCTCTGTTCAAAATCTTCCCATTGTTCCCATCTAATGAGAGTAATAGCCAAAGTCCTTAAAAGGGCCTAGAAGACCACATACCATCTGGCTCGCATTTACTTTTATTTCATCTCTGATTGCTTATTCCCTCACTCACTCCACTTCAGCCACATACCATGCATATTGCTGCTTCCGGGTGCTGATGCTTGCTGTTCCCTCTGTCTAGAATGCTCTTTGTACAGATGCTTGTATTGTTCACTCCCTTTCTTCGTTAGGTCTTTGCCTACAGATCACCCCAGTGAGTCTTCTCCTGAACACCCCATTTCACTCCCTATCCCCCTGCCCCATTTCTTTTTCTCCATGGCCCTTACCATTGCTATATCTTCAGTGTCCAGATCACTGCCTCGCAGGCAGTAGGCACTTAATAAA